TCTCTCTCTCTCGCCTGCAAGATCCCTGCGGCCCTTAGCTTGTTTACGTAGAAGGCCGCCGCGTGGCCGTAGTAGAAAATAAGGGGATGGCGGAGCCCGTGCAAGGGACGAAGCAGAAACGCCTCCTCGCCCTGGAGACCGGCGAAAAGGCTCTCGGTTAGCATCCACGAGTTGTCAAAGTAGGCCTGCAAAGACTGGACGACGAAGACGACGACGACAGCCGCAGACCAGAGGAGATGAGAGAGAGCGTGAGCGCCGCTACAGCCACCGCAGCAGCATTAGCAAAATGGTATGTCGTTCCGACTGGCCAAGATAACAAGGACCGACGAGTTAACACAATCCCCTACCCACACCCGCTATTTTCAGTAGTTTACGCAGGCTTTTCTAGGTAAACAAACATATTGGATACAGCATAGAATCGACTTAGTTGGGATTGGGGTCTGCGTGGCCCCTGCCTGGTCTTTTTTGGTAATGAACTCACGGCCGTCCGCCTATTTTCTTGCCGGTATTTCGAGGCAGGGTGTGTGTGCATGCGGAGCTGTACACCATCAATGTCTCCATAGGACTGGAACGCTGGCGGTCCTCGTTCTCGAAACGCGCGCGTGTGTGAGACGGGTTTGCTGTGTGAGCGGCGTTCTGCTTCTTCTCCGGTGGCACGCGCGAACCCTATCGGGTCGTGATGATCCGACACGGTCGCGCTTGGCGCAAGGACAGTAGTAGTCGGGGGCCATGGACGACTACCGAGTGCGGCAGTGGGCCCCCCGGCAATCCAACGTCGACCCCGTGCACAACAGGCAACACCGTTGACAACCGGCCTCCACCTCCCTGGCCTTCGCTTGGCGCGAAAGTCAGATTTCTCGCCGCCGCGTGACTCCAGAGAGCGTCTATTTTCTCCTCTATTTGTTGTGAATGCCCCAGCGTTTTCCCGCCTGCGGTCGGCGCTTGCGATTGATTTGATTGTCCCTTCCCCTCATCGAGCGTGGAGTCAAGCGAATATTATCGCCTACACATTCAATGTTTTCCACCGCAACATGCAAACGATACTCTTCTCTCTCGACAGAGAGAGAATCGAACTCACCACCTGGGGTGTAATTTCTGCAACATAAAAATAAAAAAAAGTATCCTTGACATCAAAGCTGCTGGGAACACAAAAAACTGTTTTGCTCGTGGCGGCCGATCCTGTATCTGCCCTAGATGCTACTTCGAGAAAACCTGACCGTTTTCCTTCACAAGAATAGCGGTTTCTCGTTGCAACCATGCAGGGTTCACGGGAAGACGGCCGTCGGGTCTGTCCTTGGATAGAAGAAGTGCCATGTTTCACTCCAAGACAGAAACGACACCACCACACAGCAGGAAGGTACGATCGATCATCGCTCACGCGGGGTGGGCATGCACCCATCAGCTCCTTGTAGAGGCCCCGCTGTGTCTCTCTTTCATTCCCCCGCGTTGTCACCGGCGCAGAAAACAACAAAAAAACGACTAGTTGTAGTTTTTCACTCCATCAATCAAACCGGTGACATCTAACTTCACTCCACATGACACCGTACGCGGCGCGAGGAAGAAAGAAAGGTGGGCCGGCCGGGAGTGCAAGCGTACCTGCTTGGTGCAGTCCCGGAGAACGAGCTGCGGCAGGGACGAAATCTTCCCGTCTTCTCGTCTCCCTGGCACCTCCCCTTGCTCAGAGGGGCGCCGCCCGGTCCACCAGCCGTCAGAGCGGGGCCCGAACAGGTCGCCCGGTTCAGCCAGGGGGGGGGCATCAAGGCCGCCGTCGGCCTCCCGTGGACCCTCGTCATCACGGTGGTGGTGGCAGTCATCTTGAGCGGCGGCGGCACCGGTCGAGAACTGGGCGCGGAGAGGGGTACACATCGGCGGTAGAATAAGGATTGCCATGTGTTTAGTCACGAGCGTAGCATGCCACTGATAATATTTTTTTTATTAATATTTTGTTTGTCCTCCGACAATTGCAGATAAATGCAGACATACATAAAGTCGATCGTAAAGGCCGTCATGCGAAGCCAAATTAACTCGATGCCCAGGAATGATTGCCTCTAAGTCAACAAAACTTTGGTTGAAACACTACAGCTGAACTCTACACACGAACCTTAGATGGAGAAAATCGAACAAAACCCCAACCTCATCCACCCGAAATCAAACAAAACTCGGCCCCGTCTTCCCTGGTACCCCTGACACCGTATCGAACAGAAATCCGCTTTCCACCGAAGTGGTTAGGTTAAACCTGTCGCACGCATATTTCGGCGCGCAAAAGTCTGTGCAGCATTGCTGATCGATACTGCCACCGGTCACACCAAGAGAGAAACATCCGCCGTCTTGCTCTTTCTGAGGCACCCCCCACTTGAGCCCATGTTCCCCCAGACCCCCGACACTGCCACCCCTTGTTCCCACTTCCTCGCCACCTGATATTGTAGCACGGGGTTCACTGTACACACGATGAGAGTGCTTTTTGGCCCGGTTTGTTTTTTGTCTTTGTGGGCTTGGTTGGCGGTTTTCTCTAGTAGGAGATTAGCTGCTCCGATAACGTGAGAGCTTTCTTGGCGCTATTGCTGCCGAAGCACTGCTGCTGCATGCTCGTAGACAAAGGAGCATCACAACATCCACCGCTGTAGTCCGGATATTTGTGGCCGTCGAGCACCTGTTAAGGCGGGGCGGACACAGCAGTAGTCGGCCACCCAAACCCTCATCAACGAAGATAGGTTGTGGCGACGAATAATACGTAGCAAGAGCATCTCTTCTTCAACTCACTTCACTTCTATGGAAGGAAACGTGTGTTCATCGAACAGGCAAAACATGCTGGGGTTCATAGTAAGGAAAGCAACAATAGAGGCCAGGAAGTGATATTTCCTTCGCACGGTAAGCTAAATAGCAAACTTCAAGGGTACGGGGACTCCCGACGACGGTGCAAACATCTGCAGCGATTGATCGCTGACATGGCCTGACATGGCCACAGCAAACAGCAAGACTACGACGTCGGCGCCTGAGGCATGGCCGGATGTGACCACACTGGAGTTTAGATTGCGCCGCATTTTATTGTGTGCCGGGTACATACGTACATACATGGTACACGAAAACCCAAATGTAGCAACGCCTGAAAGTTTCCCATAAAATGACTGGAGTTTACAAAGGAGGACACCCTTGCGCGAGAAGAGACCGGGCACCTCGCCACAGAGCAAAGCCAACGAACGAAGAGACTTGACAGCTGCTATTGGTGATACCAAAGCATGTCACCCACGGGGGGGGTCGCGATCCGACCCTCCCCAATAGAGATCGGTGTCGCCAAATACGATGTGGAAAATGAGGCACGTGAGATTTTACGTAGAACGCAGGTGTTCGAATATCCCGCCGTAACGCGACACCGCAACAGGCCCACACTCTCTGTGTCAGATGACACCCGCGATGAGCAAATCACTGGATTCTCCATCCACAGTTTTCCATCGCAACATGTGGCGGGTGCTACAGAAGGCCCACATTTGGCTTCATATATCACCAGCAGTTCTCAGTGCAAACGGCTCTCTCCAATACGGCCACGTCATCAAAAACACCGGGGTTGGACCCGTTGAAGTTATGTAGAGGTCGGTCGTTTGGGCGCTAAAACACACCCGAGCCGACAAACAGCGACGCGAAACCACCCTAATGCCACTACTGCGGTACACGTACAGGCAGGCGTCGTACATTTTTAACACTTAGACTAGTAGTTGTTTTTGCAGAGAGTGGTTCGGTAGAGGTGCTTTTTGTTTCGAAAAAAAAAAGCTGTTCACTAGAGGGATCACATTTTGATGTATGCGCGAAAAAAAAATAGATTGACCATGAGGGGGGGGGGGGGGGGGGGGGGGG